AAACATGCGCACATTATTTATTGATGACATAATCTGACTCGCCATAAAGTAATCGGTCACATAGATACTGTTATTGTAGCAAATAATTTTTATGATCAGGTGATTTAAATTTAACTTTTGCTATTGAATTTTTGTAAGAAAAATAACCAATAACATCAGCGATATCATAGAAAATAATAAATTCAATTATGGATAACGATTAAAAATCATGATGAAAAAAGTGCCATTCTGCAAAACACGAGTCAAACACAAAATTGATAACTAATCGCTAACTGATCGCTACTATGTACTGAACTTGACCATTATCGACTTTGGCAAGTCGTGATATACAATATGTCTACGGTTAGAGTGGAAAAGAAGGAAAATATTTTATTTTTCATTTTACGAGAAAAGGCTATTCTTGATTAAAATTATTGCTTGTCTTTAGAATATCTTTAAATGATTTAAAAATAAGCAAAAATTTTAATCCATACTTTTTCTCGTAAAATGAATAAATTTTTTTTTGTCCGTTTCTATCAAAGTAGGCCGATTCATATACAAATTGAAATTATAATATAAATTTCAATTCTAAGCAACTTTCGTTAATAAAATGCAGTTTATTCTTGAACGATTTTTATCTTTACCGATTTTCTGATTACCCTGTACATGCAAGATGAAAGTTCTCCATGTCAACTATATTTTAAAGATAAGCAAAAATTTTCGTAAAATTAAAAATAAAAATATTTTCCCCATTTTCCAGTCTAACCGTAGACCTATATATATGCGTTGNTTCAGTTAGGCGATTTTTTTTTCAAACATGCGCACATTATTTATTGATGACATAATCTGACTCGCCATAAAGTAATCGGTCACATAGATACTGTTATTGTAGCAAATAATTTTTATGATCAGGTGATTTAAATTTAACTTTTGCTATTGAATTTTTGTAAGAAAAATAACCAATAACATCAGCGATATCATAGAAAATAATAAATTCAATTATGGATAACGATTAAAAATCATGATGAAAAAAGTGCCATTCTGCAAAACACGAGTCAAACACAAAATTGATAACTAATCGCTAACTGATCGCTACTATGTACTGAACTTGACCATTATCGACTTTGGCAAGTCGTGATATACAATATGTCTACGGTTAGAGTGGAAAAGAAGGAAAATATTTTATTTTTCATTTTACGAGAAAAGGCTATTCTTGATTAAAATTATTGCTTGTCTTTAGAATATCTTTAAATGATTTAAAAATAAGCAAAAATTTTAATCCATACTTTTTCTCGTAAAATGAATAAATTTTTTTTTGTCCGTTTCTATCAAAGTAGGCCGATTCATATACAAATTGAAATTATAATATAAATTTTAATTCTAAGCAACTTTTCTTAATAACATACTTCTGTATTATTTGAAACAAAGTCAGTTTATTCTTGAACAATTTTTATATTTACCGATTTTCTGATCACCCTGTACATGTAAGATAAAAGTCCTCCATTCCAACCGCATTTTAAAGATAAGCAATAATTTTAATCAAGAATGCCTTTTCCTTGTAAAGTAATAAATACTCTTTTCCACTCTAACCATGGACATACTATATATGTTTTATCTTTATTACTATTTGGATAGATTATTTTTAATTTTGATCATATTATTAATGATGATGAAAGGTCATATGATATTATTTCTTTAAATGTCTTAATTTTTTTGCAAATTTTAAGAAAATTTATAGAATTTGAATTAGTGTTTAAAATAAGAGAAAAATATTTAGTTAACAGTTTAGTTTTTTCCAAAAGGTTCAATTTATTTAAAAAAGAAATACCTTCCATAAGGTCTTATTTTTAATATTATTTTTTTTAATTGAGAATACAATAAAAGTATACCTACTGTCTAGCTATATCAGACAAATTATAAAATTTATATTAAGAACCTTTTAGTAGGTAAATGTGATTAGCTAAGCAAGGCTAAACTGCTTCCAAAACTAGGTACCCTAATTAATTCTATAGTAATTCTATTAAATTCTTAGATTAGGAACTCTCTTTCCTAATCTAAGATTAAAATCAACCAATCTCTTCAACTTTCTTATTTCTTTAGGTTTTAATCTTCTATATAATATATAATATCTATGATCATATGAACTACTTTTCTATTCTCAGGTTTTAGAACTACAACTACCCCTCTTGCTGTTAAAGAAAAAGGGATGTTTGTCAATGTCAAATGCTTTGAATAATTTGATATTTCTAAAATGGCGGGAATATTATAACGTTTATTTTAATTAAATTATGATTTGCAGAACTAATTTTATTCGGTATTTGTCACTGTATGATAATTGTTAAATGTGTCAATATGATTTTATTATCCTTATTGCTTTATAATGAGGAGATGCTGGAATTTCTAGGTTAGAATATTGTGCTGCAATTAACAAATAATTACATTCAAACAGTTTAAATTGTATACATAATCTCCCTTTAAAAGAATGTTTTCTAGAAAGGCACCTGCTTTACAATTATTTTTAATTTCTTATTTCTTTTATAGTTCGAACCCAAATCATACAACCACCTGTTGATACAAGAGTGCTCCTGGGCCAGACAGCAACGCTTCAATGTAAAATCTCCTCGGATCCCCTTGTCCCTTACCAACTAGACTGGTTTCGTGATAAACAGTAAGTACTGTTGATAATTCGCACAACTTTACTTTACCTTCGATATTCTAGGATGATCAATCCAAGAGCCACCCAACGAATACGAATCTTAGACGATGGCACTCTAGAAATAGAAGCCGTTCGGGCTTCTGACGTTGGCCACTACACCTGTGCTGTTCGCTCTCCTGGAGGCAACGATACTAGATCAGCGAAGTTGTCTGTCATCGAGCTGCCTTTTTCCCCAACAAACGTTAAAGCTGAGAAATTGGACACCGGGACGCAGAGAGCTGTTAACGTCAGTTGGACGCCCGGATTCGACGGCAACAGTCCCATAAAAAAGTATATAATTCAAAAGAGGGAAGTTCCCGAACTAGGTGAGTTGATATCTGTATATAATTCTTCCTTTAAACATTGTTTTTGTGTTATATGCATTTTCTTACTAACATCTTTGTAGAGTAATGTTTGTAGTTTTTATGTAGCACAAAGCAGTTAGTAGCTTGTAATTAGAAATAGATATATTTAAAGCCTTTAGCTGTAGTGCAGATCTGAATATGTGATTAACAGTCAGTCATCATAACTTTTAATCCAAGATTTTAGTTGATTGATTGCATTTATTGTTGAGACCTTTTTTTCAAATATCTTCAATAACACCATAATCAGAGGAGGAAAAGAAACCTGACAAAATTTTGCATCTGATTGGCTAAATATGTGCCTCCTCCAGAATAAGTTGAAAAAAATAAATATATTCAGAATGTTTACTTGTTTAGTTTATAGAACATAATTTTATGTTAGTAGGCTTTTATATAGACAATTTGTAGACACTAATATGATTTGTTCAAAAAAGAATTGTGAAAACAATATCTCCAATTTTTACTGAAAGGGCTTATGCTTTTTTAGAAAAGAAATCTCTAAAGTTAATAAAACAGGAAAATATTGTTTTCTAGGTTCATTTCAGTTTCCCATATGCATATTTATTTTACCTGTTTACTATTTTATTGAAAATATGTTTTTGCATGAGTATTATACTTACCGTCAAAGCTGAGGTATTTTTTTAACAGGATGTGAAACTCAGAAATAGAAAATTTTACAAAAAATGGCTATATAAGAAATAAAAATAATGAATATCGGAAACTTACCAATATAATTGTGATAACCTGAGTATTTAAATTAAACCAGAGAAAAAAATCACAGAGGTTACCTACTGCTTATATTGTTGAATGGTGTTCAACATTTTCTAAAATTTCTCCCTCAATTTCAGACATTTCGGGTCATATAGTCCATCCCACATCATGAACTAAGTTATTCATTTGTGGTGTTGAGTGATTCCTTAATGCAAATCTTTCCTAGTATAGATAAGATGCTGCGCCTGCCGTTTGTAGACACTCTCCGTAATTCAAAACCACATCTACAACCTCATTGTTTTCATAAACGTATACTATTGATTACAAAATGCATATTATAAACACTACAATGTAACAAAAATGAAGTTATCACTCTCAGCACTCGAGGTGGTCCTTTTGCAGTAAATTTGCATATGCGTTTGTCAGGGTAGCAAAAACATCCGTCAAAACAGGAGAAGCTTATTTAAATTTTATAATTACATATTAATATCTGAATTATCCTGCAAAGTTTATATAAGTAATTTTTAGAAAAATACCTTTTTTAAGAGCTCCACATCTTTCTAAAAAATACTACTTCTTGGATAACATGTTCTAGATTTTTTTTAGGAAAAACGTAGTGCGGACTAGGGTGGCCCAAAAAAAACTAATATTTTTTTTTCCTGTCTCTTATGAAAATATGTTAGTTTACCATGTTTTAAGAGCCCCCTCAAAAAATCAGTTAAAAAAAAAATTTTTTTGGAGGTTGCTCAAAATTTATAATTTCCAAAATTGTCAAAAATTGATTTTTTTTTTAAATTTTTTTTATCGTTATTTTATCATTTACTAGGTTGAAAAAAATCTCGATTCTGAATATTTCAAATCGATATTTTAATTTCTAAAGGTTACTC